GGCAGGACTTGAACTCGCTTTCTAACCTGGTGCCTTTAACCATTAGACCAAATTCTCCAGTAATATGCAGGTATAGAAAAACAATACAATTAAACTAGACATGCTCTTATCATTACTTCTTCCTAATGACCTTCCTTTAATATATGAAATCTAATCATATACTATGGCACCACAGAGATGAAGTCTTTTCCCTCATCTGTGAAATAGGCCTTTAGATACCGTATACAATACCATCTTCCCTTCCTTTCTAGATACAGAATTATAAGATGCTACAAGATGTACTAGGCTGAGGAAGGCAGAAATTCAAGCAAAGGCTACTATATTGTCAGGCAGGTAGCGCCTAGGTTAGAATGGCATTAAAAGAATAATTCTAGAATCTAATCTAGATTTGATCTAAAATAAAATCTTATGTTTTCAAATGATAATTTCCAAGTTCCCAGATGGAAAAAGAGTGTCAAAACCATAATATGGTATTTTCTCCCTTCAGATTCCTGCCATTATTGTTTGGATCTGTATCAAAGTTCTCTAGAATCGCTTCAGCATTGCTTTTTCACAGGTGTGGAAATACACTTCCTCAGACATGTCACCCAGTCCAAGGGCAAAAGTCGACATTTTCTCAGACTTAATGAAGCTGTGGCATCCCTAAAATTACTGACAAGGAACAAAAAAACCTATTCATCTTTCTGGATCCTTTCCTCTTATTTGCCTGAAAATACTTTCGCTATTTTTGTTTTTCGTGCCAGCACTGACTTAAAAAAATGGCAGAGCTGTGATTGCTGTCTCCTTTCTCTTGCTGCTGTTCTTCCAGAAAGTAATCTGGAGAAAGAAACAAGAGAATCAGTTGTCAAGCAATCCCAGTTTTCTGCTTTAAAGATACTGGAAAGATTTCTATCCCATTCCATTCTGTCCTTGCAGATAGCATTGTTTTGACACTAAAATGGCTAAACAATAGTTGCAAACACAATGCCATGAAATCAAACCTTTGTCTGCTTCTTCTCTGTTTTAAAATTATGCTTCTATTGTCCAAAAGTAAAGCCCAAGCACTGTAGGGAGAAAGTATAGGCCAGGTTACACCAGATACAGCAACTGAATTTAGGTCAAAATCAGAAGTTGTCAACCAGTCAGATTAGAGAGAGGTGAGAATACAGTACAAGAAACTCTAGTGAGCCGTTGGCTCATCATCATAATATTTCAGGTCTGAGTGATGACAATGCCAGATAAAAGAATTAATATAGAACTGGCTGTTGTCACAGGACTGACTCCTTTGCCTCTAGTTACATTATTAAATTAGCAGCTTCCTGCATTGGCTTAAAGAAAACGTCATTGGGAAATTGCATTAATTATATTTCTTCTGGCACTGTATGTGCATAACTCAGCAGCCTTTAAACTTTGACAGTGATGAGCTAATGGTAGAAATAGCATTTTTCGTGCAACAGAAGATAATACTTTTACAGAATCGTATAGTTATGGGGGACTTCAAACTATACTGACACTGTTGGAAGAAACTGTTAGGATGTAGATATCCAATATGTTTTAGAGTCAATTTGCAGATAGCTTCAGCTCCCAGCTGGAGAAAAGAACAAGGGATCTGCCAAAACTTAATCCTGACCAACTAGGATGAAGTAATTGATAAAGTGGAGCTATAAGCAATATGTAGGGAGAGAGGGAATGTCCATGCCGTTTGGAAATTTGTAATATTAATGGTGAATAAATTCATTGGGTTTTTGGAAAGCTGGTTTTTTAGAAGTTCAGGGAAAAAAGCCCCAAAGCATCCACGATTCCAAATTAAATAGGAAAAAAAAACCACTTTTAAGAACTACTGGTATTATCAAGAATTAGTACAGGTGGAAAGGAAAAAAAAACGGACCTATCTCCATGAAGGACTCATTAATAAAAATACATTTTTAAACAAGTAGAAATATTATCAAAGAGAAAATGGATTATTCAAAACATAGTGGTAGGAAAAGTAAGGCCCAGTTTAGCTGAGACTTGTTTAGGAATGCTAAAATGGCTTTCTTTGATCATGCTTGGAGTAAGATGATGATCAAGGCGAGGATAGGTATGCTATTTAGGGAAAGAAAATGCAAAACAGTGGGATTACTTAAAAGAACCTGCGATTAATAGAATAGACACACACAAGCACACACACGACACACAGATGTGAACTTGGGGCTCAGGGCACAGAAGTACGGTAAATGGCTAGAAAACATCCATCTACCTTAATTAAATAAGTCTCCTGAGGTTCAAATTATACAAAAAGGCTTGAGGAAATTAATTTAGATTAATTTAATCTAAATTTCCTGATCTTGAATGCTGTTCACCAAGAAAACAGATACTTTCCCTATATAAGAGGTGTTTTTATATATATTTCATTAAAAGAGAACATGAAAATTACCCCCAAACTAATACAGAATAAAGAAAACAAAGAAAAAGGGTGGGGGGGAGAAAGAACAAATAAAAAATAGAAGTTTCTAATTTCCTTTGCATCAAATACACATATGATTTCAAAGTTATCTCTTAGTCTAGAATTCTCTGATCAAAGTGAGTTCATCTATCTACATGTTCCATCATTTTTACCAGCCATTCCTTATTTGTGGGTAGTGTTAAACTATTTCTGAGCATAAAATGATCTCGCTGCAGTTGTCATATTTAAAAAGAAAATTATATGAAATTTTTTACTTCCTTATCTATTAGCCCACAAAGAAAAGTCTCTGCTTTCAATTATTTAATTTTTAAAACTTTCTGAATTAATGTATTTGTATCTTATGGTTTTGAGGTTTTTTGGGTTTGTTTTTTTACATGTCTGTCGAGCATGATAAAATGTCTTTTTATGTTCACATAAAAAGATTCAAGGTGCCTTTATACATTCTAGACCATTTCTCTGGTGACAAATACTATTTTATTTTATAAAAATGCTCTTTAAAGTTAAAACCTGATACAAGGTTCCGTCCTTTCAACCTCATGTTTTTCCATTTGTATATTATAGCCAATTTTATCATTCATTTCCCCTTGTTCTTCTGTCTCATATTTCAACAAAATTTAATACATTTTAGCAATAACATTCATCATTGTACAATTCTGTTTCAAATTCGGTCTTGCTTCTGTTCCAAGCCATAACATATTTTATTCACTTTTACCTTTTTGTAAGTTTTTCATAAAAACCATTGACAAGGGTATCCTGTTATCAAATCTCTTGATTTCATTTTGCAGTCCTCCTGAGAAATTTCTAATATATCATGATACATTAACTACTTATGTTTATTTATTATTTCCCATCTATAAAATGCTTCTTGTGCTGAATGCCACAAATTTGTTTTCAGAAGAATATAAGTTTATATTTATTCCATATTCTAAAAATAGCCTGCCTGGTGTTGATTTTTAAAGTCTACATTTATATTAATTTTATGAAACCACAGATAACCTTGCCACCTAAAAATTGTGACTTCACACTCCAATAGCTGCCTATCTCTTACAATACAGTACTCACTCTTTCATCCAAACCTAACAGTCGGCAGCAAAATATAGTTTCATATCTGGTAAGCCCAATCCTCTTCTTTCCTTTGCATCTTTTAATAACTCATATTTAACTTGGGGTTTTCCCGCTAAATAAGAGGTGTTGTAGAAAATATTGATGGCAGTGGGTTAGAGATCCCGTAACTGCATTCTGTGTAGGAAAACTGAAGGATTTTCTGTATTCAAATAAGCTGCTCATGTTACTTTAGTTCTCACAATAAAAGTGTTTGTTTATTTCTTAATAAATTTATCACATGATATGTATGGGATCTGGAAAGATTCTGATAGAAAAGTGATGCCACCAAACCTCAAAAAGGATAAGGTAGAGCTAGAAAAGGTATAGAAAAGGATAACAGAAGTTATTAAAGCAAACGAGGAAGGGTTACAACAATCTTCTCCAACCAGGTTACCTTTCAGATATGTGATTTCAGACTGACTTCAGTACAATATTGGGAATAATCTCACCTGTAAACTTGGATAACTATATCTCCAATCCTCCAAAGGGGATTGTATAAGTACATAATTTTGATGGAATGGAATAGGTCGTTGGAAGAGGTGTATATTGTTACCACATATCTATTCTATACCCATGTTCATTCTTTCTAATCAATAGAATGTTAGAAAGAAATTATGTACAGGGGATTAGAACTATGTCTAATGTGTCGTCTCCAAAAATAGAGTGGGACCAAATTTGATGTGGGAGAGAAGCTAATCAGAGCAAAACTGAGTTTGAAAATGGACTCCTCCTGACCAGGACCTGCAAAAAAAACCCAACAACAACGAAACAACTCCATACATCCTTATAAGGGAGGCAGAGGGGCAGAAACTTGTGACAGTATTGATTGCCTTGTTCTTCAGCCCACCCCCAATCCTCTGGTCTCATAACCATGGTGTTGCTATTAAGCAGTTGGAAAGAATTCCAGAAGGCATGCCCTGCGTGCTTTCTCTGCCTTCTTATTCTTAGAGTCATTTCAAAGTCTGCTATTAATGCTCATATTTCATTCATCTCTTCAGGATTATTGTCAAACCTGTTGCTAGGGGGAGCCCATCCCATTGCCCGGAGCACCAAATTTAGTAGAGAGCCAAATGTTGAAAAAGAAGATGAACTTTAAAGAAAAATACAAATATGTTTTGTGGAAATGTAGGTGCTGATTTCATGACATGTCTAGAAATGCCTTCACCTGTGCAGGTGAAGAATGGATAAAAGATAAAAACTTGCAGAAACCTCTCCACTGTCTTTTTGGCCAAGAAAATCCTTGCTAAAATGAATTAATATGCAACCTGTTAGAAACTCTTCGTTGGTTATTTAAAGACCTTTTCTTTAAACTCTGTTGAAGTTGCTTTTAAAATTACGCAGTGTGAAAATCTCTTGTGTCTGTTCTTTCTCTCTGTTTAAAAACAGTTCAGGAAAAGCAAAGTTTAATACATTCTACAACATTCACTACAATGCTAGTAAACATATGGACTTTTTTTCTTTATTGATTTAGTTCCTGACGTAAAAGACCCCACTGACATCTCCATGCTGTCCATTGACATGGAAAACAAGGAAAATGGATCTCTGGACAAAGAAAAGTAAGTGGTCCACTGAAATGTTATATATTGATTTACAGAGCTGAAGTTTAATTCTTCTGGGTACCAAAAATGGCATACAGCCGTAGTTTTATTTTGAAAGATTGCTAAAATGTTATTTTGCTAACTTCGCAATATAATCAGTACAAATGGAGTTTGTTCTGACTTTGAAATCTTTGTCGGACTAAGGACAACATGTCTGAAGCATCTCTGAGTATTTTATATCATCCCTATCTAGGCTTAATTGTAATCCTAACCTTTTGATACACATTTAAGTATATCTTCTAAGGCAGAGTTTCTCACCTTTGAAGATGTATAGATTTTAACTCTCAGAATTCCCCGACTAGCAGGCTGGCTCGGGAATTCCAGGAGTTGAAGTCCACACATCTTCCAAGTTGCTACGGTTGAGAAACACTGTTTTTGAGTGTTTAAAGAGCCTATTTACTAAGGGGGGGGGGGTGTCATGGAGTGTATCAGCAATTGTAAAACAAAAAGATTGGTGGAGTAGTCCATGCTGACAACCTACCACTTAAGAGCATACAGGGTTTGCTATGAGCCCACCAGGTTCTCTCTAGGTGACTAATAATGACATCACTTAAGTACCTTCGAAGTGATTGCCAGTCCTCAAGTAACAAATAATAACAATCCTCTCACCACCTCTTCACACAAAAGAGAGATAAAAGGTAATTGCTAATACTCTGCCTCATCTGTAGTTTTAATTCATATGATATGCATTTGTTTTGTTCTTTGCAAACACAATCACATTAAATGTAGTTGTGGTTGTAAGAGGGAAATGTCTGACTCCAAAGCTGGCATTCCTCCTGCTGTTAAACAGCTTTTTAAAATTTGGGAGGATGAAAGAAGAGCATCTTGGAGATTTTGCCATTGTTCCCTCTCTTGAATAGTGTTCAGATGGCTGGATATTGCTGCAGTGGCCAAAGAAGGGGACTATGACTGGATATTGCTGCAGTGGCCGAAGAAGGGAACTTGCCATTTGCATCTGTTTTGTTTTTTTCTTTCATATTTCCATAACAGAGGAACTATCATGGTGTGAAAGTGGTCATTTTCCTCTTAAGCCAAAGAGCATCCTGTGACTATCTCAGTGTTTTAAACTTGTTATGAATTCTCATTAATTTATAAATATAATCAGGTGCCTGCTCGTGGATGGGAGCAAAATGTAACCAGTTTCCCTTTATCTGGGTACAGCTCAGTGGTGGGATTCAAATTTTTTGACTACCAGTTCTGTGGGCGTGGCTTGGTGGGCCTGGCAGGGGAAGGAAACTGTAAGATCTCCAGTCAGAGGTGGTATTTGACAGTTCTCCAAACTACTCAAAATTTCCGCTACCGGTTCTCCAGAACTAGTCAGAACCTGCTGAATACCACCTCTGGGACACCTCTCCCCTCGCTGGGTCTTCATCTGGCTCATTGGTCACCATTTCACTGTGGTTTCTCTAATACAGCCAAACATAGCAGTGCTGTCATAGTGATCTCTGTCAAAATTGTTCAGTAACACAAGGTTGCTTAGTCAGCAGTACAGGAAGAGCATACCTGTTCAAGAGTGAAATAATGGAATGATAGGATCAATCCCACTTTCACCTTCTATTGCCTGCAGAAAAGAGTGCAGAGAAAGCTAGAAGTCAACATTCATTATCTACGTAAAGAAAAAGGGGGGAGCTCTAAGAAAAAATAACTCGGTTTGAAGTAATAGAGGGAGTTTGTTACAGGCCCCCAGAACAAAAGGTTGAAACTCTGGTTTGGGTGTTGAAAACAGATAAGAATATTGATCACTCTGTTACCAGAAGGGCAAGAATTCTTACCAATTGGAAGACCCATCCACAAGCTCAGCAGTGTTACAAGAAAACGGAAAACGTTGTAGTATAGTGCCATATAAATGTCAGTACAGCCCCACTGGTAAACCAAAAATTCAGTTGTGAAAATTGGTTAAATAAATTTTCACATATCTAAAATAACAAGGAACGAAAATAATTTCATGATTGTTTCAGTTGGTTACATGTTTTGAGTTCTGTAATAAAAAAAACCTCCAACCTCTCAACTGTGCAAAAGGGATCTTTTTTTTAAAGGTGCATTTCCCCCACCTTCCATATCTTGTTTTCTTCATACCATGTGCGTAATATCCAATCAAGCAAGAGAAAAATCCAAGCAGCGTCTGAGGCAGGGAATTGAAACTATCAAGCTGTCTTTCCCCTTGAAAGACTTGGTGGTGTTAGATACCAGGTGACATGGTAAACAACATAAATTCAGTTCTTCAACTTTGTCCATTCTTCCCAATATATTTGAGGAAAGCTCAAGCAAGTGAAAGATGAATTAAGAATTCATGGCCTCCTTTAGGTGTATTTTAAACTGCTTGCCAGTAGGTGTCACTGTAGCAACAAAGTAGCACAAGGTGGAAATGTGAACTTGTATTCAACTATATGATTCTTGGATGGAACCTGAAATTAAATCATATAAGCCTTATAGATACATTTTCAGGTTACCTCCCATGTACAGTATATTCACAACATTGTGTGGAATTAAGATTTAGTTTCTGCTAGAGAGATACTATGGAGGTTCATTTTAAATTTTATTTTACAACTAATTTGGGGGAACAATTAGCATCATTGCACTGTTATTCAAAGACAGAGCCATTTAATCACTTACACTTATAATTAAAGGTCTCTATATTTTTCATTTTGTATATCAATGGCAGGACTAACCCTAATCCTAAAAACTAGTGATTTGATTGGATTCAAATCTGGTATACATTTTCTGAAAAATAAACACCATTGAATTAACTTAGAGCAATCACCAAGAGAGTAGACACAACCCAACGCATACATATAAGTAGAATGTGATTATCTAATTATTATTATATTATTCTCGAGGGGGTGGGTGGCCTTGGATACTCCTATCATATAGGTTGGTTCAAATCATATTATTCTAAGAAGTTTGGATAAAGTTAAGTAAATTACAAGTACTGTTCCACCAGCACTATATAAGGACTTTTTATAATATTAGTCTATTTAGTTTCATATTTCTAAAATAGCCTGATGTAACCAGATATTTTCTGGATGTGTAGGATTTCAAATCCTATTATCACTAACTTCTGGCTATGCTGGCTTCAAAGTAATAAGTACTACATTGGGTGAGGTTAAGATCATTGAAAGAATTGGGTTTTAGCATCCAAACGTAGTTGCTGTTGGACAGCTAAAAATTATGTTTCATGCCCATGTATGAACCAAGTTAGCATAGGAATACACTGATAAACTTTTTACCCCTGGAGAGCTGACCAGAGGTGGTATTCAGCAGGTTCTGACCAGTTCTGGAGAACCGGTAGCAGACATTTTGAGTAGTTCGGAGAACCAGCAAATACCACCTCTGACTGGCCCTGCCCCCATCTCTTTTCTGCCACCTGAGTCCCAGCTGATCAGCTGGGTCTTCTTTTGTTGCCCTGCACAGGAGAACGGAGCTGGAAAGCAGGTTAGTGGGGTGGGGAGGGAATGGGATTTTGCAGTATCCTTCCCCTGCCATGCCCACCAAGCCACGCCCACCAAGCCATGCCACGCCCACCAAGCCACGCCCACAGAACCAGTAGTAAAAAAATTTGAATCCTACCACTGGAGCTAACATGTAGATGATGTGCAGACTGCACATCTGGAATTGAGCAATTGCTATTTCCATGCTTGTGCTAGCACATTCCTGTTTGAAGAGTTACAAGGTGTGCTTTGTGGGCTTTCTTTCACTTCCTGTTGCAATAGCTATTTTAAAAAAAGATCGTTGCACAGAAGAGCAGGGAAAGGGCAAGTAGCAAAGGGGGGAGAAAGCTGTACTGGGTATGTGTGTAAGCATGTGTGAATGTTTCTGTAGAGATAACAGAATACATAACTGCAGAAGTCAAGTGCAGAGAGTAAGAAATCTTAGATATCACCTTGCTGGCAATTCCTTTAAAAACCATTTCCTTTAAAAATTAATTGTATTATAATTATACAGCAATAGTAGAAACTAAAACAAACTAAAAGAAAGAAACTAGAATAGAAAAAACAAAAAGTGCAAAGGTGGTTTCTCTTTTGCTTATTCTGCAACTAGCTTCCAACTGATAGCGTCAATGGAGAAGCTTGCAGTAAAAACAGCAGACATCTCACCAGGGGTGGGATTCAAATTTTTAAACAACCGGTTCTGTGGGCGTGACTTAGTTGGTGGGCATGGCTTGGTGGGCATGTGACTGGGTGGACGTGGCTTGGTGGTCATGTTATTGACTGGGCATGGCCAACTCAATATCACTCACATTGAGGCACGCATCTCCTTGCCTGGCCTGTCATGACTGTGGGGATGCTGCAACAGTCATAAGTGTGAAAAATGGTCATAAGTCACTTTTTTCAGTGCCGTTGTAACTTTGAATGGTCACTCCACACAAGCAAAGTACCAGCAAAGGAAGGAAAAAAAATACCAGAGAAGTTCTTGAGACAGGAAGTCTAGTCCTGCCAAGAATATAATAAGGGTTAACGGAGAGGCAGTTTCTGTAAGCAACACCAGAATGTTTCCTTCCTGCCTTCCATACAGGATTAGGCCAGTAATTTCTTCTAACGACCGGTTCTCCGAACTGCTTAGAATGTTAACAACCGGTTCTAGAGAATAGGTGTGAACTGGTAGAATCCCACTGTGTCTCACCTAATAACCAAATGCAAAATGACATCTTAAGTCTTATCACAGTCACATAATGTTTCGCTTACAATTGTCTATCACAGAGTCTGCATACCCATCTCTGCTCTGAATCAGGGGTCGCCAACCTTTTGGACCTCAGGGACCACCAAAGTCATACTTTTAAATCCCGAGGACACCTAATACCATTTTTTTAAAAAAAATAATATATTTAATATAACATTTTTATTTTTTATATTAAATATAAATTTACTATTATATATATGCTTATTTAATTATAACAAAATCATAAATGCTTAATCATAGATGTGGGGCAGAGCAAAGGGAAAGGAGGTGCATCTCTATTCTCTGAGAAGAAAGAGGGGCCTGGAGACTGGAAAGATATGGACGGAGAGGAACCGGCTCCCCCTCAAACGGAAGGAAAGTAGAGCCCTTCCAATCTGGTCTCCTGTCATTTCATATCTCCTCCAAGTCAGAGGAAACCTCTCTCTCCTTTGCCAGGTGTGGCTGTCTGGATTTGGGGATGGAAGGGGGGCCAGGCTGAAAGTGCTGAGGAAGACGGGCTCCTAATAACCAGGCAACCCCCCCCCTTCTGCCTCCACACACGAAGACTCCCCCCCCCCCGGCTAAGCTCCAGGTTTCTCCCGCCACTTCCAAGCAGAGAAGGTCCCTCCTTATGTGGAGGCCGAAGGGTGTGTGTGTCAAGCCCAGAAAAGCTCTCACCTGCACAAACAGGTTGGTTATTAGGAACCCATCTTCCTCAATGGTCTTTTGGTTTGGGCATTTGGTCTCCCCCCACCCCACCCCATGCCAAAGGAAACCCAGTCAGGTTTCTCCTTCCCTCCTACCCTTCCTCCTGCTCCCTTCCCCTCCACTCAATCCTACTTCAGGACAGGAGAGTGTGCTGGAAATGTGTGTTGGCATTTCCAACATACATTTCTCCGGCGGTCACCCACAATTCTTTGCGTTCCTCCAGGCCTGGCTTGCTGAGAGGGGAGAGCAGCCCTGAGGTAGGAATTTGGTCCAACAAATACCAAACTGACAATGGCTGTTTAGGATTTTGAGGAGGTAGGATTTAGAGTGAACTCGCTGACATACAAAGAAGGTAATTTAAAAGGTCTTTAAAAGATGGTTATATCAACAAGTAAGATGGTTTTCCCTGATGGTTTTCTTTTTCTTGAGAGAACACTTGAGTAGCATATGTGCTAGTTTCTATGTCCATACTCAATTTATTTGAATTTCTTAAAACTCCATAGCTTGGTAGAGAATGGAAGACCTCCTGATCCAGCTGACTGGGCAGTTACAGATGTGGTGAATTATTTCAGAACAGTGGGCTTTGAAGAACAAGCAAATGCTTTTCAAGAACAGGTAAGTCTGTTTGCACAAAGCTTTTTACTTTTAATTTCCTGCTTGGGAGATTTCAGAGTAGAGACCATTACAGGCATATTTTTGGCATTGCAAAGATCCAAGTTCAAATCTCTTAATAACATTGGGTCACCTTGGACCAGTTGTGCTAAGACCAATGTACCCCACAGGTTTGTTACGAGAGTAAAATGAAACACACACACACACACATACACACACACACACTGCCTGTACTCTGAACTCATAAATGAATAGAGCAATAATGCGATAAGTAAATAAAATAAGCACTCAATGAATGCAATTAGGAATGAATTAGTTGGCGCTTTAAAATTGAGCTACATGGTAGAAAATGAGTATGGGAATGTCAATCATCTACACAATGTTACCAAGACAATGTCTGGTCATTCCCTTGATAGACTTCCTTAGGTTGGCACCAACACATCTGAAATGAATGAAAGAAGAGGAGGTGACAGGTTTTTCACTACATACAAGTAGTCTTATAACTTAGTGACTAAGTAGTCTTAGTGACTGTTCAAAGTTATGGTAGATTCCCCAGAGATACTTACAACTGAGCTCCAAAATTCTAACAGCCGGTGGGGGGTGAAGTCACATAACAACATTATAGGTGCTTCGCAACCAGCTCACATTTATGTCTATTTATAGTATCTTGTGACCATGTGACAGTGATTTACGATGTTTTTGCTGAAAAACATTGTTTACCTCAGTTTTTGGCATGAACAAACCATAGTGAATGTTTAATGATTGTGAATTTGCTTAATGATTGCCACAAAAAAGGAAATTCATGAAATTTGTTTGGTGATGTGGATGATCTTTATGACTGTCATGACTTTGGACCATAATGTGTAGGCTCCATTATGGTTGTAAGTCAAGGACTATCTGTAATTGTCACTAGGTGCTATAACTATCTAATGAAAAGATGCTAATCCAGCAGCACTTATTTATTCCTCTATACTCATTATTAACTGAGTGCTCTTTTTAAGTACCCTTCAGATTTTATTGCTAAGGAAACTCAGCAAGGAAAACAGCAGGATGAGTAATGGAACTGGCATCAGCTCCAAGTTTTGAAACAGGATCCCAAAATTGGTTTGTTGACTTGTGATATCAACTTTCCAAAGATAAGGAATTGTAAATGTTCCAACCAAACCTCCAGTTTTCAGATGCTTCATATGTCCTTGTCCCATGAGGTGCAGTTGGTCCTCACTTTGCTGGGTTTTCAGAAGAATTAAGGCTTCGCACTGTCAACTAACATGAAGATCTACACGAGCGCTTGTCTTTTTAACTTTGTTTATTTTTGTATGGATTTTTATGTGAATTTTATTATTTTTTACTTGTAAATACATTCACCGCTGTATTACTCTGACTGGGGATTTTCTTTTTTAAAACAGATCAGTGAAGTTTCAACTGTTTACTACCCAGAATTACGTTAATGGGGTTGAGCGTATTTAGTGCACCTCTCTTGCAGTAATTAATCGTTGTCTTCTGTGATTAATTAAAAAAATCCATTTTTAATAAAGTATTTCTTTTTATATTAGAAACTTTAAAAACTATAATGTCCATTTTTAATTTTTTTTAAAAAAATCTCTTCTGATTAAATTTCAACTGACAAAATTTAGAACATAGTATTCGGAGAACTGAAGAAGCTTCTTGGATGAGAAGCAAAATATTTTCAAGGAAAAAAACAAGAAAGTCCTGTTGCCTTTTGTTAAAGCACCTTTGGGACAAACATGACTTGGATGATTGAGAATCTCTATAGACGTGACACCATAGAGTTCTTGCAATGTTTGGCTATTAAAGTTACATAAAACATGGAGGCCTTTATGTACTCTAATGGTGACAGGGCTGATATGGATTGGCACTGCTGATCTGCCCTCCACTAAGCTGGTTGAAATAAATATCTCTGAGGACAAACATTCTCCTTTAGAAACAGACTTGGAAAGCGTGATACTCATCTTACTAAAACGGCATTTGAAAGAGACTAGTTAATGGGATCAAGAGATGTCAATTCAAGATATTTATTTAAAACGGCACGCGTGCTTAATTGTTTTGTTTTCTTCAGATGTCATTTAATTTTTAAATACATAGGCAGATAAAGTTATGAAAATCAGCAAATGGAAAGATTTTTACACAAAATGGAAACATTAGCCAATCCCTGCCACCACCAAAAAGGCAAAAACTATTTATACCTGAAATATTCCTTTCAGTTAAAATCTGTGCTCCGTTCAACTTCAGATTTTCATGCCAGTGTAAAAAAGAGACTATGGAGATGAAATTTCAAATAAATTTTAATCAAAATTTGAAATTTCATCTCCATAGTCTCTTTTTTGCAGATGTGCCGTTCACTAAAATTACAAATTCAATTGCCAGAATGCTGTACCTCTGCTTGATATTTACAGCTTTGTAGGTTTTGGTAATAAACTGGGGTGAATTTGTGAAACAATATGGATCTTTTCATATCTTGTAATTGATTTGCATGTAGGATAAATTAAATCCAGCCCAGAGCCAATGGGGCTGTAGTATGCAAATGAACAAAATCTAACCGTTATTTAGCTTATCTAGTGATGATGTCACAATCTTTCACAGGGAACTGTTTGAATAATTTTGAAATCAACAGTTTTCTTCTCTGTAGCTGATTGGTTATTACCCCAGTTAAGATTACCAAAAGCCCTGACATGATACTGCATGTAGAAATATCATATATTTAACAGTATTATGGGTCAGGGGTTTCTGAGTGGATGTTTCTTTTGTTTGCTTTCAAATGTATTTTAAACTTCAACTGTGAGACTGACAGAACTCCAGAAAGGCCTCTAGATCTTGTTCAGTTACTTGTCTCAGACCAGCCTATTGTTATCAACATTTCAAGAAGATGGTTAATTATTATGAGGTTTTAGGAGTATCAAGATCTGCATCTGCAGATGATATTAAAAAGGCCTACCGACAGTTGGCCTTAAAAGTACATCCTGACAAGAATCCTGGAAACCCAGAAGCAGCTGAAAAGAAATTTGTAGAGATCTCTAAAGCGTATGAGGTCTTATCTGATACTAAAAAACGAGATGCCTATGACCAATGCAGCAAAAAGAAGCTAAATGAAAAAAAACCTGCTGGAGGACAAGATAGAGTTGGAAATGTGCAGAGAACAGGCCATGGGGACAAACGATATGGGAGAAGACAGGCGGACCCTGAATTCAGCTTCTTCGGACCCGACCTGGACATAAAGATGGGTATGGGTTCCTTTTCTCAAGATATCTTTGACAATCTGTTTGAAGATTTTTCTGGGCTTCAGCTAAATCCCCGCAGAAGTAGAAGCAAAACTGACAGGAGCTTTTCGGTTTCTATCATGGGCGTCTCCCCCATTGCAGGAACTGGTTTCACTTCCTTTGGTTCTAACATCCCAGGGAGCTGCTCTCACTCCTCCATCACGTCTCTAAACAGGGGCAAAAATGGCAAATTCCGCTCCATCATCACAACCAGCAAAATTGTGGATGGCAAGAAAATCATCACAAAGAGAACAATAGTGAATGGCAAAGGAAGTGTTGAAAAAGATGAAGATCCCATCTGTCACTGAAGTGTTTTCAGGCTATTCCAGGTAAGGACAGCTGCTATGCTAGAAATTATTTTAAAACATATGTTTTGCATGTGACCTGATTGACATACATTTATTTCTTCCCAGGATTTTGGGCACTCACTTAGTTTGGCATACACATACACTAACACTTGGGAATTATGCCACCTTTTAGGACAGTCTCTTTCAAACTTGGTGACTTTTAAGTTATGTGGACTATATGAAACATCATGATTGATCACTCAATCTACCTTTATTTTGGCCCAAGACCAGCATTAGGATGGTGGGCTATAGAAAATTTAGAGAGAGAAAAAAATACAGAAATCCTAAAAGTTAGAAAATATAAAAACAAAAAAACCCTAAAAAAATAGAAAAAGCAAAACAACAAATAATCTATTATAAAGTGTGAAAGTTAATCAAAGTGATTGAGTGGTCAAAAATGTTGCTGCAGTGGTACCAGAAAGGACATTTGGAGTAGCTGGGGATTAAGTAACTGAGATTAAGGAGAGAGAGAGGAACTTGTTCAGAAGATGGAGAAATGATCAACCTTGCCTGGGAATGCCAATCTTGCCCTTGGTGTCAGGGCTTCTTGGAGGTAGTGATAGAGATGAGCTGGATTGGCTTTAGGACTGTCCAAACAGTATTAGTGGCAGCCCTGTCTGAACCTTGTAGCTGCTGCTGGTGGGTGTTTAGCCAGAGCAGATTATATTTTCCAAGTGTTGGGAAAAACAGTAAGCAATTGGACTGGATTGATTTTAGCCATTCTGTGCGGGATTAGGCCTAAAACAAGATCATCATCAGCAAACATTGAGAGTCTGGCCTTTGTTGACTAAGCCCCAATATAGCTGTGGGTGACTGTATCTGCCAGAGTATATTATCATTTTTTTAATTGCTGACAAGAGCCTAGGGTTAGAGAGAGACTCATGTTCCTGCTTCCCAGAGTACTAATCTATTCCGGGAAAAGAGCTAATTGTGGTTTTCTGCAAGCACTGCATGATAAGGATTACTTTACTAGAGAAATTATACTGTGTTTAGAAGGCTAGAATAATGTACTGATAGGACAAGAAAAGAAGAATAAAAAAATTGGAAGAGGAAAGGATTATAAGGCTATAGAGGGAGTAAACTGAACTCTTCCTATTTGGACCTTGGTGAGAGTGGGACAGATAGGGGAATAGATAAGTCAGGTAGTTCTTGGTTAACAAGAACTAGTCAGTGACTGGTTGGAGTTACAATGGTGTTGAACAAGAAGACCTATGGCCAGTCCTCAAAGTTGTGGCCATTGCAGCGCCCCTGCAATTACAATTCAGGCACATTGCACAATTACAGCAATGGCTGCATCCCATGGTCACATGATCACCATTTGTGACATTCGCTGCTGGACTTCTACAAGCAAAGTCAGTGGGGAAGTTGGCAAAAGGTTGCA